GTCATCTGCATCTTTATTCACCAGCCAATAGCCGCCTCGAAAATCCCAAATCTTGACTTTTCCAATCGTGAATTTCAGCTGATTACTTTTTTAACACACGAAAGCGAACACTGTAAAAGGGGTAAACCCCATGATCCAAAGGTATACTGTCAGTGGGAAGGTATGGGGAACATTCAAGCTAGAACCATTTTTTGATTCTGTGTTTAAAAACAAGGGTGTTGTATGTTGAAGAGAAGACCGAAAGGTGAGAGCGTTTCACACTTGTGCTGTTCTTGGGAAAAAAGATTATGCGACACCTGGGAATAGCCACTTGAAATGGGTGTCTAACCGCTTGTGCGCTGGATCTACGAGGAAGAACAAGTGGTAGAGGGACGGAAGCGGAAAGTTCATTAGAGCAAAATCCGAAGTATTATCGATAGAATAAGGATAAAGAAGCCACTGCCCGACGGTGAGCTAGTGACTGCAAGTTGCATGTTAGGGACGGGTCGTTGCTGAGACGGATAGCCTTACGTTGAACTCGATCAAGAAGAGGAAGACAGGTGGACGAAGCTCCACTCCACACATGATTGTAGTGTTCAAGTGTAGAGCGAATCTGAGCTTTGTCAAGCAAGAGGAGGTGAATGGGGATGAAGAGATGTCTGGCGCGGAAGAGGAAGCGGATTTTGCTGGTAGCGCGGGAAAAAAGTAGATAAATATAAGATGACCATAAAAGAGAAGAAAAGAAGCAAAAACTCAATAGGTTACATGATTCTGTGGAAAGGAGAATGCTCGATTTGAAATTCAAGGAAGAGGAGAAAGATACATGTTTGAGAGAAATGGACAAAAGGGCAATTTTACTGGCATTAAACAGAACACGGTTGCAACAGCCCCAAACAGAGATAAGACCCAGATCAGAATTTCTCGTAATATTCGCTCCTCCGGCTTCTCCTCTATCTGTAATTTCTCTGGTAGTTTTGTATGTAAACCACGAGAACACTGAGGTTTTTGCTTGCCTGTTTTTCGCTAACTGCACCTTACCCGATTATCCTACCTCTACACTTTCCTTCACCGGCAACTCTTTTCTACCTTATATTGGCACTAGGAAAATCAGTCAAACATTGCGCTCTCTAAACGCAAACAAACTACCCAGTCCGGACGGTATTCCACCCGTTGTCCTCAGAACGTGTCCTCCCGAGCTGGCTCATATTTTACGTTGTCTTTTCAGCCTTTCCCTCCATTCTATTTTTCCAACTCCTTGGAGCACGCCGTGATTTTTCCCATTCCCAAACGCGACTACCTTTCTGACCTCAACAGTTACCGACCCATTTTTCTCATACCTGTTATTTCGAAAGTATTTTAAACTCATCTCCACCGCCAATATGGCTTCCGAGGGCGTCGTTCCACCGGTGACTTATGGGCTCTCGTCTCATAGTCCTGATCAACTGCACTCGATGACCACGGAGAAACATTCTCGCCTGACATCTCAAAGGCGTTCGACCGAGTTTGGCACAAAGGTTTACTGGCGAAACTACCCATGCTCATCCCCCTCGGGCTCTCGTAGTGTGGATATCGAGTTCCCTCAGCAAGCGAACCATCTCCGTCGAGTTGATGGGATTCTATCTCAGCCATTCCTTATGAATGCTGATGGTCCCCAACGTTCAGTTCTTGCACTCACCCTCTTTCTTTTATTTTTCAATGATCTTT